TGACCTCACAGATCCGCCCAGGGACAACTTGAGCTGTGAGTAACAGGTGAGAGGGAGCAAAGGGCAGCTGGCTAGGTGTGCCCCAAGCCTCTCCCTCTCATCTGCAAACCAGTGGTGTTTTCTCCCCTGGCAGAACTGAAGCCTTGCTCACTGCCCACGGCTGGGCTCGGAGAAGAGAATGAAAGGTATTCGCTGGCGTTACACTCGACTGGTAAGGAGTCCAGCTTGGGCTGGGGCTTAGGTCAGGAAAGGTAGGGGGAGGTGAGCTCTCTGGCAGGGCGAGGTCTGGCCTAGGAATGAATGCAGGCAGGAAATTTGTTCCTCCTCCTAGTACCCACCCCAGCTGGCTTGGGGTTCAGAGCAAGGACTCAGGAGCCCAGGGCCTTAGCTCCCAGTGCTGTGGGCCTGAGACTCTCAAGGAGCACAGACTGCTCCCTCCCTGGAGTGGGTGCGAGATGGAGCTCTGTCCAAAAGCCCCACACAGCTAGGACCCCCTCCTCAGGCCTGAACCTGGGGAACAGAAGAGCAGTGTCTTGTTCATCTCTCATCCTTGAGGAGATCTCTCCCTTCTGTGAAAAGCCCTGAAGTCATTGTGTGCAGGCACACGTGTTTGCACACACCCACACACAAAACCCTCCCCTCCCCACACACCCAGTGATACAAAGTGGAAGTTCATTTGAATGAACACGTGAATGAATGAATGAATGAATGAATGAATATACCGACATACACGCCCAATGACACACATATATTTACACAATCCCAGCTCACACTCATGAACACATTGACAGGTAAACACACAAAGCTACACTCAACGCCTTCTCACACTGATTTGCCTAAACAACTCTATTTTTAGCCAACACACATATTCACACGGACGAGCATACATTTTACACAAACATACACATGCTTCACCTACAACTACGTGATCGTTTCACTGATTGACAGGGAGGCCTCGGGGCCTCAATCTCTTCCTTTGTAAAATGGGAATAATAAGCACATTCTCAGGATTCTTGGAGAAATTCAGAGAGATCATGCATGGCGAGCACTTCACACAGGCCTGGTCAAGTGTGTGCTGATCAGTGTCAGCCACTCATTATTATTGTTGTTACATTACCATTATTTCATGTATGAATGCACACGGTTCCAGTGCCCAGGGTTGGGCTGTCACCTGCCCTTCTCTCTTACCCTCAAGCTGAGAACTGATCGCTGGCACCCACTCTGGATCCAGAGCAATCAGGTAGACAAACCACAGGGCGCAAAGCCACATCTGATGGGCGTGTGTGCCTTCAACCTTCAGCTGGTGAGGACCAGGGAGGAAGCCGGCTGGAGGCAGGGCCGTCTTGTCTGAAGTGGACTCTTCTCAGCCTCCTCTGGCTGGGCTGGTGGTTGCAGGAGCCTGGGAAGGGGTGGCTGAGGCTCTCAGGCCTGGGAGATGTGGAAGCTGCTGTCTCCTGTCTCTCAACTCGCCAGGCCTCTTTGTGTTTTTACAGCCCAGCCAGGCGGAGGACACTGTGTCTGGGAAGGAGAGTGAGGACGAGGAAGAGGAGGCAGCCCCAGCCCCACCTCCCGAAGACCCCGTGGAGCCCCAGCTGGCAGAAGCTGGCCAGGTTCTGGGAGCCTCGGAGATTAGGCAGGTTCGGCATGGCCCACAGCACAAGGATTTCAGATCTGAGCCTGAAGGTCGTACCCTCCTGCCCCACCCCAGCCAGGTCCAAGGACACCTGGGGTCACTCCTGCTCTGTCTCCAGCTCACTGTGCCACCTCGAGCTAATTATTTCTCCTCTGGGATTTCCTTTCCTTTCTTATAAATTGATCCAGTATTACTAGCGCCACTCTCTTCACTGGGCCGGGAGGTTAAGAATACAATAAAGTAAGCTTAGTTTTAAGTAAAGCCAACCCTTGGGAACTGAAGCCAAAGCTGGAGTGGGGGTAGGAGGATGAGCGGGGAAGATTAGGAGGATGGAGTCGACATCTCATCCATTCTCTGGCCACTAGGGGCCAGGGCGACCAAGGGAAGAGAGTCCTCAGGGAGACCTGGTTCAAATCCTGACTCTGCCACTTGCTCCTCATGGGGGCTTTTGGCAAGTTGCTTCACTTCCCTGAGCCTCGGTTTCTTTATCTATAAAACGGGATTAATAATCCCTTTCTCTGAGGGCTACTGCTAATAGGCGTGAAAGTCCCCTGGAAACAGGAACCTCCTCTATAACCTATAAAGCACCATGCCTATGCGAGTGGTGGCTGTTTAATCCTCCTGGGGTTGGTCCTCAATCCTCCTGGGACCCCAAGGAGGCTGGGGGAACAAGGATTCCTCACTCACCTCTAGTCCTGTCCCTAGCTTAGCCTCCACCTCCCCTCGAGAGTCACCGGACATCCCTGGCGCCTGGCCTTCAGCACATCGAGAGACGGCTTTAGTCTGCGGAGCCTGTACAGACAGATGGAAGGCCTCAGTGGTCCGGTGCTGCTGGTGCTGAGGGACCAGGATGGGCAGGTGAGTTGGGCCGGGGCCCCAACCTAGGGAGTGTTAAGGAAAAGGATACATATTCATGGACCCATGGGGTCTCCCCATCCTTAAGCTCTACCCCAGGCTCCCCAGGTGTCTCTCTAGAATGAATCTACATTACCAGACCTGAAAAGTAGGGTTGCCAGGGGATCTTAAACCCCCTTCCAGCTGCAAACTGCTCTCCTTCTTTCCAGATATTTGGGGCCTTCTCCTCTGCGGCTCTTCGACTCAGTAAAGGTTTCTATGGTACTGGCGAGACATTCCTCTTCTCCTTCTCTCCACGGCTGAAGGTGATGTTCCCAACCCTCTAAGCGGGGAGTGGGGTCTATGACAGGACAAAGATCGTGGGGTCTCAGTGGCCCCCAGCTCCGTCCCCTGTGCTAAGGTGCCTGGTGTCCTTCCATCTTTTCACAGAGGGAATACAGAAGGGCAGTGACAGGCAGAGCATTTTGACCAGCCCATCTTCATTCAAAAAAATGCTCAGTAGGTCCCGGGCCACCACTGATGGGCTCTGAGAGTTTTGTTGCTCACCAGATACGGGTGGAAAGACAAGACTGGCCCAAGTGCAGATACATCAGTGGGTGTTAGGGTAGGAAGATGAAGACAAATACATCCAATGGTGTCAGTTTTCTTATGAAGTAAGGTCATCGGCTGTGGGTGAGGATGGAGGAGAGGGTGTGAAGGTTGAGGGAAGAGGGGTTTCAAATAGTCTTCATGGGAGTGGAAAGGGAAGCCTACAAAGGAAAACCAGAGAAACAGGACTGAAGGTTAGAGACCATGAGTTTAAAGCAAGCCCATTACTTTGGCGTGTGCTTTCCTCCAGCAACATTCAGCTCCTCAGATTCAGGCACAGACAGAGTGGAGGGGAGGGGTCACCTATGACTGGGGTTTTGCCAAGCTGGAGAGAGGAAAAAGGAAGTTGAAGGGAGTGGAAATACACAACAGATGGGGAACTAGTTGTGGGTGCTTTGGTTTGCGATTAGAGGCCTCTCTCCATGCACAGACCAAGTCACCTACAGATACCTCCAGCAACACAAACATCTGGTTGCACGACAGGATCACAAGGAGCTATGGACTGCCTTGCTAAAGGCAAAACACACCATTGCCTCTATTGGCCAGCTTGGTCATCGTAACAGGAAAGAGGAATGGGGTTAGTTGTTCATTGAAACCATGCTGTATACTAGTCATCCCCGCTTGCCTTCCAGGGTTCACATGCTAGAATTCTAAAGTTCCAGATCCTCCTCTTATTGCACCGACAACTCCTTGGCAGAATTTTTTGCTGGTTCCTCCTCATCCCCCCAACCTTTTAAGGTCACAGGGTCCGAGAGCTCAGTTTTGGCTTCTTGCCTCTTCTCTGACTACCCTCTTTTCCTTCCAGGTCTCATCTACTCTCACAGCTTTCTGTGCCATCCATGTGATAATGGGCTCTTTCTTCTCCTGGATGCTAAACTCACATACATCCAGTCACTACCCAGTGTCTCCACTTCATCTCAAACGTGGCATTTCAAGTCTCATATGCCCAAAGCCGAGCTCCTGACTTTCCCCCACAAAATCGCTCGTCCTGCTATCTTCCCTAACAAAGTCAATGGGCTCCCCATCTTTCCTGCTGCTGAGACCAAAAATTTTGAGTCCTTAACATCTCTTTCACAAGCTACATCTGAGCTGTCAACAAATCCTGACAGCCCTGTCTTCTCTATCTATATCCGGAATCTACCACTTTTCACTATGTCCTTTGCTGTCACCCTGGTTCAAGCCACCATCATTCCTTGCCTTCATTCTTGCTCTAGCCTCCTAATGCTTCCGGCTTCAGTTATCACAGGAGCTGGAGTGATCCTTTTAATAGGTAGGTCAGACCATGTCACTCTGGTTCCAAGCTGCCAGTGGTTTCCTTTCTTATTCAGAGAAAAGCCAAAGTCTTCTAGCTGGAGTGATCCTTTTAATAGGTAGGTCAGAGCATGTCACTCTGGTTCCAAGCTGCCAGTGGTTGTTTCCTTTCTTATTCAGAGAAAAGCCAAAGTCTTCACAGTAACCTACACATCTCAGTGTCTTCTGGCCTCTCTCTGTTATTTCTTGCTACTTTTCCTTTCCCTCACTCTGCTTTAGTCACACTGACCTCTGAGCTGGTCCTCGAACATGCAGGCCCGCTCCCAACTCAGCGCGTTTGCCCGTGATGTTCTGCCTCGCATGCCCTCCCCTGGGGCTCCACGTGGCTGTTCTCCCCTCCTTTGGTTCTCTGCTCAAACATCACCATCTTGGTGAGGCCCTCCCTGACTATCTGATTTAAATTTATAATACTCCATCCCCTGGGAACCCTACTGCCTTCCTCTACTTCTTTTCTCCTTCGCATTCGTCACCAGCTAACATGCTATTTATTTTACTTATTTATCTGCCTCCCCCCACTCGAATGGGAGTCCCATGAGACACAAATTTGCATCTGTTATGTTCATCATTCTACCTGGTACCTAAAAACAGTGCCTGGTGCTAAATGCTAAAAAAAAATTGTTGAATGAAATGAATGATTTTTTCAGAGGCCTGCCCTGTCTTTACCAGCCTTTTGTTAAGAAATCTCACCTTTTCAAAAATTGGTCAGTTTTTGCCTGTTGGTCTTCTGGCATCTCTTATGTTCTTCATGAATCCCCAGTAGTTCCTTGATCACTGTTCCAAGAAGCACCATGAGCATGGTCTCGATTTTTTTTTTTTCCTGTAGCAATATTTATCTTACTCCTTCAAGTTTGAAGGTCATATTCCTTGATGAAAGTAGAGGGGACTTGAATGGTTCTGTCTTCTCGTGATCACTTGTTAATGTTATCTCTTCTGAGCCAGGACTTATCTTTTATTAGTCCATTTTTTTTTTTTCTCTAAAAACCTTTTGATTGTTCACAGTGTTCTTCTCCAACTAAGTATAGGAAATAATATACTATGCTTTTTGTGGTCATTTAAAAATCTTTTTATTAGCTAAATTGACTCTTGAATAATTTATTCATTCAACTAACATCTCTACTGTATCTTGGGAATATTGCCAGGAATCAAGAAAGCCCTCACGGAGTTTACATGTTAGGTTGCAGAAATGGTACAATGACATACGAACAGGGTCATCTCAGAGAGTTAAATGCTAAGTAAAAACAAAACAAAACAAAAAACCAAACAAACAAACAAAAAAAACAAGGCCTGGGAGGAAGGGCTAATTTAGATAGTGATCGTAAACCAAATGCAGGAAGAGCATTCTGGGCAGAGGGATCAGCAAGCGTGAAGGTTAAAGAAGAAATAGCTTTGGGTGTCCTAGAGACAGAAAGGCCAGTGTAGCTGAAGTGCAGTCAATAAGGGGGAGAAAAATCAGGGGTCAGAGCAGGCTGCGCTTTTGGCTATAGTAAGGAGCTGAATTTTATTCCCAGGGCTTTAGGCAGAGGAATGATAATATCCGGTCTGATTCTGAATAGACCACTCAGAATGCAGTGTGGAGCTGGGCTGTGGGTGGGAGGCAGTGGAAGCTGTGCTCCAGCAAAGAGTGACTGTGGCATGCATGGGGTGGGCGAGAGTGAGTAGAGATGGATGGGAAAGAAATGGTAGTCAGCGGGTCTCTCTGGGGCGGGGCCTGCAAGACTTGCTGAGGCACCCAGTGTGAGGCAGCACTGGGGGATGGGCAGGCTTGGTGTCAGCTCCAGTGTGAGACTGAGGAGACATTTAGTGAATGGCAGAATCAAGACCCATCTCCTGACCTGGATTTTCCCCTCCTCTCTCCAGCTTTGGAAGAAGGAAGCCTCAGAGGGTTCTGGTCCATTCCTAGAATAGTGGGGCTTTGGAGCTGTGAGAATTCAGACTGCAGACAAAGAGGAGATGAACTCCAGAGAGACAGGAAAGAAATCTCAAGAGCCAGGAGCCCAGAACACTTCCTGTGGCTTAGTTGGGGCCGGGGATGTTCCATTCCCTCCACAACACTGCCTCCCAGTGGTGTAGAGTCAAACCGTAAGGGCTTGCCCAGTAACCAGAGCCCTTTCCTGTCATCTTATCTCAGGTCTTTAAGTGGACAGGACACAACTCTTTCTTTGTGAAAGGAGACTTGGATTCACTGATGATGGGCAGTGGCAGGTGCGTGTCTCAGCTCTCCCAGAGTCTTGGGGTGGTCTGTGTTCTGGTCCTGTCTCCCTTCCAGAAATGCTGGGCCAGGCTGCCCCAGATAAAATGGGTAGGCTGGTGGTTAACTTTCAGGCCTCTCCCTTTAAGAGCCCCAGGGCACTGCCCAGTCCCCCAGCCAACCCCTCGACTTTGCTCTAAGTCAACACTGACAAGAAAGGATGGCATGGACTCACCCTCCCAAGTGTCTACAGTTGGCGACAGCTTAGTCTGAATTCATGTAATTTGGGGAGCAGCATTCCTCATGGTCGTTAAGGCTAGAGTCGAGCAAATGGGCTAGCCTCCAATTTGCCTCTCAGCCAGCCTCCAATTTACCTGTCAGCCCTATAATCCCAGGGAATGTACCTCATTGGAGAAAGGCAGACATCTGTCCAGGAACTAGGCCTGAGAGTGTGTGTGTGTGTTGAGTGGTAGGAGGTGGAATGGGTTGGGAAGAAAAGATTAGTCTCGCATCTGGTGTGACCTGCAAATTCAGCAGAATCAATCTTATCCTGAGGGCAAAGATGCCAGTATTGTTTGATTAGTAGCAGGCAGGATCTCTGCTCTCCCAGCTGCCCGAAAAGCCTCCATTGAGAGACAGCTTGGCACAGAACACACCAGCCATTGCTGACTTGCAGTAACTCACTTCCCAGCTCCAGCCTAGGTGTGCTGTCAGATGAGAGAAAGGGAATGGGTGCTCTCTGAAGTGTTTTGAGCTCAGGGCCCATGCCTGTGAGATTCACTCCTTTGGTTAAACATTGCCATCTTAGAAAGGTTCCAGATGTTCTAAAACTGGATTGTGGTGAGGGCTGCACCACTGTATACATTAAATCTGTAAAAGAAAAACAACAACAGTACTCTAGATCTTGTGGGGAACAATGTGTAGAGTCTCTAACAATTCAGGACAAATTGGTTTAGGGGAAGCTGAAAGGTGGGCGAAACTGGGCTGCGGTCATGGTGCGGCCAAAGGCTGATAGTGTGGATCTGAAAGGTCTCGACACCCAGGAATGAGCCATGCCAAGCCCTTCCTCTTCTTTTTAGTGGCCAGTTTGGGCTGTGGTTGGATGGAGACTTGTATCATGGGGGAAGCCACCCCTGCGCGACCTTCAACAATGAGGTGCTGGCCCGGCAGGAGCAGTTTTGCATCAAGCAGCTAGAGGCCTGGGTGCTGAGCTGATGCCCCTGTGGCGGGCAGCTTCCTGAGGTAACAGGGCTCATGGATGCCGTCTGGGCCTCCCATATACAGGGCAGCCCATTCTGTCTGAAATACAGGGCTGAAGTGCCCTGGTGCTGACTGTGGCTGTGAGCCGGCCTCCTGGTGACCTGGGGTCCCACGACAGACTTGGGGGTGGTGACTGAAGTGAAAGATGTTTACACCTGCAGAGGTGACTGAAAGAGTGAGATGTTTACACCTCACCTGAGTAGTACAAAGTCCCTCATGAATGTTATTTTTCTAGAAATTATACAACTAAAATGTGTTTCTTATAGGAAAAAACAGAAGACATCAAAAAATTAAAATTGCCTAAAATTCAGCCACTCCCCAAAACACTAACATTTTCATGTACATTCTTCCAGACAATTTTCCATGGAGACATATATGTATATTTTATAAAAATAGGATTCTACTCTATGTTTCAGAAATTATTTTAACTTCCAAGTTAAAGGATATTGTTAAACCACAGACGCCTGGGCTCAACCAATGAAACTAATTAAGACTGTAGCAGTATCATACTTTTTCTAGAACACTGAGGGCTTTTTGACTGCTACCAGTGTGCCGGGTGCTTGCAATCTCTAATTTCATGAGGAAGATATGAAAGCAGCAAATGAACAATACACATATTTGATAAAGAAGCTGAAACTCTGTAGATGGGAACCTTAGGGAGGTTAAAAGAGAGGGAGGATGTGTCCTCTGGCACGAGAGCTCAGAAATTTAAGAAAAATTCACATCCCTCCCCATGCTAGTGTCTACCCTCTGCCAGAAGGAAAAGATTCTTTATTGTGCTATTACTCTCTATTATTGAAATAACGAAGGCCATGTAAAAGACCACCCGTTCTCTCACAGACCCAATAGCGAGTTGAAGTACTAAGAACCATCTCGGTAGATTCTTAGACCTATTTCCTTTGCAAACAGGGTCAAAACTGGGCACGCAAGGGTGAGAGAGTCATGAAGGAAGACACCTTTGGTTTTAAGATGAAGATACATTCATGAAGCTTTATTGCAGCTGTTTCCCTCACCCAAATGAAGTAACCAGTCATTTAAACTTTCAGTTCTATTTACATTCTCAAGGTGATAACATTCAGTACTTTCAGAGGCTAAGCTGTTAACGTCTCCATTTTTATACAGTGAAAGTGATTCTTAAGATAAATCTAACCTTGTAAATGGTGCATGGTTCTCATAATTAAAACAGTTGTAAAGAACATAAAGTGCAGTTGCCTTATATGTAATAAAAGATGCAAACAAAATGGATTCAAGCTGTTTCTCACATAGCACAATGATACAATATCAGGACTACAAAATTCCAAAGTAAATTACAATGATTTAAAGGTAGAAATTGCAGAAATAAAACAATCTTAGTGGAAATACTTCACATTTTGACCTTGGGTCTGAGTACATGAAGTCTGAGGCCTAGACTTCTCTTCACTGAATGTTTTAGAGGCACCTTGGCCAAAACAGTATGACTCAGTACCATAGCTGCCTTCACCTGTGCTTGTTGGAGCCTAAGTGTGAACACGTCCCCATCTATGCAGCATCGTGGTGGGAGTGAGAAGGGTTTTAACTGTTCTCCTATGAATTAGGGTCAACTCTTGATTATCTACTGAGGGATGGAGGAAGGGGGTGGTGACTGTGCAGAATGGCAGACCTTCCAAATACTTTCCACCCTAGTGTCGACAGAGCAGAACCTGGTTACACAGTGGGAGGTGGCAGCACTCCTGAGTCTGGATAATCTGCTGGCCTGCGGTGTGAGTTCCTCCTTTCCACCACTCACACCTGCCCAGAACCAGGGCTGGCTCCCCACACTCAGCTCCCACGGAGAATATCAAAGCATAAGAGGCTAGGGGCTCGTGACTACCATTCCTCGCTGCCTTGCATCCTCAGCACCCTCTATCCACCACTGGCTTTGGCTCTAACTCCAGCCTGTGTTCTTGGTGGATTTCTATGGTACTTGGCGTTGGGGGAGGGGGCGTGGCGCCCTTGGCACAGGAGCATTACTCAACCACAGTGGTGCCCACTCCACTGCTAGAGGTAAAGAACGTCCATTCACAAAGGGGAACCTGGAATTCATTGGGTAATCACTCAGCTCAGCACCGGCAGCTCAGTTTTTGCCCTGAAACAGTAAAATGCACTGAACCACCACAAACCAAATCCCAGCTGAGTAGCCCTGAGGATGGTTCCTGTGCTGGCCTCTGCTCAGCTCACAAGCGAGATGCAGGGAGCAGGTCAGAGGGGAGCCTCCTTCCCCAGGCTGGGCAGCGGTAAAGCCCGCGGGACTTGGGCAGTGAGTATTCAGGGGAAAAAAGAACTGTACCGGGCCACAACTGACCCAGAGGACGGCCTGCTTTGGGGGGTACCTCTGCCACTGGGGATAAAGGTCTCCTCAAAGGTAGTTTTATGTCCCACTTCAGAGGAGGCCACAGCCCTCAGAACTTTTGAATAAATTAATCAGGCCTCTCACCAGAGTTGGAGGCCACTCCTGGTTCTCATCTCCTATTGTTTACCCTAACTTGGCTAGAAGGGTGAGACATGGTGTCTTTCACTAATGTTTAGATCACTTAAGGAGAGCCGTCCTCAAATTCGGGGTGATGGGCACCCCCTCAGGCAACTAGCATTTCATTTTATTTTTAACCTTGGCTGTACATGACAATCCCAACTTCAAATTCCAATGGGCACCCTTGTCTCATTTCAAGTTTTCTTTTTAAAAAACAATCATGTTATAAAAATTCAGAGTACATAAAAGAACTATTATTCTACGAAAATAGACTACTAAAAGAGAAAGGCTTTAATATTAAAAATAGGTAAAGTAATGCTTTTCATAGCATGTATATAGTCAGATCTCCCTAACACCTTTTTCTTTCTTTGAATAAAAATTGCTTAGCTTCAGCATATGTGTAATTCAAAACATAAAATAAAAAGTGCTAGTCGTCACTGAATTTGTAGAACTAGATGATCAAATTCCCTCAATTAATTGATCGTGTTGGAGAGAGGAAAGGTTGTAAACAAATGATTGCAGGCATTCACATTGAGTCATGCTGAAAAAGCCGATGTCGGGCTTTGGATCCTTCTTGGATGACAGCTGGACTCTGGGCTAAATTCGGGTAATTCCATTCCAATTTTAGAGGTGTTATAAGTGGGGCTATAACATCGCCATCCTGTCAATGAGAAAATAACTAAGAAGAGAAAAGCCAGTTTTAAAGATTCAGCGAAAGTCTCAGGTATACATAACCTTGTCTGACAGACTGCTTGCCTCTAGACATACTTACTCTAGGGAAACCTCAAATTTATACATATGCCCTGTGCTTGGGTCAAATCAGAAACAGCACAGTCCTAAGTGGGTAAGAGCCTTCAGAGCAAAAGCCACCAGACCTGTTCTCTTCAAAGATGGTCAGAAGCAGCACACTGCCTGTTTCTCCGACCCTCTCCCTTCACACACCTTCACAGAAGACAAACTCTGTCCTGTTTGTCCAGGAGAAAGAAGGACTTTGCTGGACCCCTCCTCGTCCCTTGCCTAGCCCCTCTGCAACATATGGCCCTGGTTTACAAGAGCGCAAAAAATGGGGACGGACAGTACATACCCATAGAACTTAACTAAAGCTACTGCTTTGGTCCATCGGCATAGACTCCATGCAAAATGAAGGGATGGCCTCAAAGTGAAGTGATACTATGGCTTGAAAGCAAAGAATATAAGAATCAAGACCCTTTAACACCTGACTCTATCCTGAACGTTCTTGAATTTGTGGCTAGATTCTCAGGTTACACGAGGGCATAGGATCTTTAAGAGCCTTTATTGCACTAGGAATATGATGTCTGTGGTAGAATACTATGCTCTTCATTGGCCTATTTGCTCTCAGATCCACTCTTTACCCTTCCTCTGCTCTACTCTGTATAACAGGAGCTGCTCTTGTAAATTTCATCTCCCAGCTCCCAACCTATTGGCGTCTAATTAGGTTTGGCCACTGGGATGTACCGATGGAAGACTGGAAAAGTGCAGGGAGGAGAGAGGCTTGAGTATTTCTCCCCCATTCCCTCTGGCACAGGCAGTAGTGGCCATGACTCTTCTGTGGTTCTAGCTTCTGCAGGTGACCCTAGCACTTGGACTCCCATCTCTTACCCTAGAGGTGGGAGCAGCTTCCTGCTGTTGTCTCACTGTCCTCTGCTCATTTAGCTCTGCCAAAAATTTTGTATGTCATTCCCCATATTAAATTTCTTCTGTTGAACTACACTGGATTTGACTTGATAGAGTTACTAAAAGCAGCCATTCAATTGCCATGATACTCATATTTGGAAGATCTGTCTATCTCAAAGTTAACATTATTCATCTTCAAATCCATCTCTAATTCTACCAAACATCCTTATTTCTACCGATTCTAATTTTAATTCTAGTGAATTTTATGAATGCAAACCTAAATATGTCACTTTCCTGCTTAAAACACTCAGTGACTCCCAGTGCTCTTGGCCTACAGGACTACGCATATGCCCCAGACCCCTCCCCTAAACACACCTGATTATCCAAGGTCCTCCATAATCCAGTCTATTTTTGCCATTTAACCTCTCATCACTCAACAATTAAAATTTTCTACGGCAGTCAGCAGGTCTCCTCATAGTCCCCGCCCAGACACACTTGTCTTATTCCAGTTTCACGCCTTTCTGTTGCTCCCATGGCCATATGTGTCTACGTTTCTCTTTGCTACTCTCCCAAACACAATCGACCTTCTGGAACAGGTAGAACCCTCCTTCCTTCAGAAGGTTTTTCTGTCTGCTCTCCCAGTTCTGAATCCTGACAGAACTCATCTGGATCCATCATCTGGGATTGTCGTCCTGAGCTACTCGTGCATGTCTGTCTGACCTTTCATTTTTATTTCCTTCATTATCTGATGCATGCAGGGGGAAAAGGCAGCTACGGTGTTGTGAGAGGGAGTCCTAGCCTAGGAAGCAGAATGCTGTTTCCCACCTGTCTGCCAACTATATTCATTTAGACAATCAATAAAGATCGAATGGTCACTTTCTCTGTGCTAGGCACCTCCTACCTGTAGGTCAATAAGCATAAGCAATCCTTTGAGCAACATTATAGGATTGACAACTACGTACGGCTTGGCTCCTCTCCCTCACTGTTCTCTTATGCTAGAGAACTTAAATAGTTTACAGGTTTGGGAATGCTGAATTTGAAGTAAGAACTTAGGAAACTTATTATCAGTGGTATGTGGACTTAGGCAAGTTAATTATTCAGTGTTGGTAACCCTTTCTGAAAGCTATGGACATTATGATTCACTCCCAGGGTCACTGAAAGGACTGGATGAAACAACTGGTGAGAACATTATAAAGTACTAGTCGCAGGCTCACCATTTTAAACTTTTATCATTAGGACACGAACGATAAATTGAATCCTCACTCACAACTGGTAGAGGAAGAAATCACCAGTTGACAGATTCGGACATTTTAAAAGGAAAGCTTAAAGTGGAAGAACTTTTTTTTTTTCAAAACCATAGCCAAATGACTATAATTTAAGTGAAAAACTTTGAGAGGGAAGTAAGGATCTCTTGGTTTTTACTTAAGTCTAAAAAATTATGCCACGTATGTGAATACTAAGCCACCTACCTGAGGCTTGGTGAAGTTGTTGAGTGAGCACCAATAAACGAAATGCTGGCGTGCAGCAAACAAACTCTTTTCATCCGTCTTCTTACAGTACACGCGAATCAGCTGCTCTGAAAATTTCTCTGGCAAAAGCTTGGAAACCTTTTGGAAGAAGAAAAGATTCCATTGTCCCCTTGAATTCCCACACGGAGGAGAGATCGGCTGTTCCTAACCTCCATTCTTGATGCTGTACTAAAAGCATCACATTAGTTTGCTATTTTATCCCAATTGTAATAGAAAGAAAAGGATTCGTGTTAGTTGTCATAGTGCCAAACGTCCCACAATTTCCTGCCGATTAATAAGAGACAAAAGTGTGTATTATATAACTATACATAGCCTGCAGACTCTTATACAAAAGATAGGTGAATAAGCACATTTAACTTACATGACTTCAACCGTACAACACTTCCTTCCCAGAGGATTTTTTTTGGTCTATCCTCTAGACCAAAAATGCTTTTATCTATGTTTGGCAAACAGGAAAAACTAGATGATCTAGTTTACATAAAGTCAGGTACATTTTAATTTTAAAGATATGCTTCTATTTTCTTTAACAATGACTTTAGGTCCTAGACTGCATGTAAAATGCAAATTTACTATAAAGATCTGCCAAATGCCACAACAGTACATATATTTTTTTTTTACCTAAGTAGTTACCTGATTTTTATTAATCTGGATTGCTTGCTCAGGGTCACTCTTACAATAGAAGTACACGTGATCAATAGGATTCTTGTCTTCCAATCCATAATTCACGTTGATAACCTTAATAAAGGCAATAAATAAATGAAACTACTTACATATTTAATAACAATGAGAACTGAATGCAGGGTTGTAGGGGCACCGCAGCAAATGGAACAGAGCTCTCTAGAGGTTCTGAGGTAAGAGCACTGGTTAGGTGGCTCATAGTGGAATAAAAATGGTACATGACCCAAAAGGCTCTGAAATCTGGGGTGGAGTGGGCTGCGGTATATGTGCTTTCAATGGAAGTAGGATATAAAGTCAATACCTACTATGTGATAGATACCTGTGGTAGGCACTTGAGATATAACAAGAAATCTTGATATACTTCCAGCCCCCACAGACCATGTGGCCTGAACTGAGGTTGAACAAATAATTACAAAAGTAATTATCACAAAGATTTGAGATCTTGCTTCCTGGTATATGTTGTCAGTTTGGGCCCAAATCAACTCTTATAAAAAATTCTCAAAAAAAAAAAAAAAAAGTAATTATCTAACCACATTTATTATAAGAGCTATCAAGGGAAAACAAATGGTGCTATGAAAGTTTGTAACTGGGAAACCAAGTAGTTTGGGGCTTCCGGGGAATGGCTGGAAATGGTTTTCCTGGGAAAAGGACTTTGTTAAGTAAGCAGGAATTAACCAGGCCTAGGTAGGAAAGAAAAGAATTCCAGGCAGAAGAAGTAGCTCTGTCTAACCACATTTATTATAAGAGCTATCAAGGGAAAACAAATGGTGCTATGAAAGTTTGTAACTGGGAAACCAAGTAGTTTGGGGCTTCCGGGGAATGGCTGGAAATGGTTTTCCTGGGAAAAGGACTTTGTTAAGTAAGCAGGAATTAACCAGGCCTAGGTAGGAAAGAAAAGAATTCCAGGCAGAAGAAGTAGCTCTGAGGCAAACAGCACTGAAACTGTCTGCTGGGTTTGGTCACACCGAAGTCTCGGTGAGAGCGATTTTAGTATAGTGACGGCAACAGAAAACAGGTTCAGAAGTCAATAAGAAATTAAAAAGAGAAGACAACTCTTAGGATTTCGGCTGTTAACAAGATGCAAGAGAGAGAAATATGGTACCTAGAAAAGGTAAGGAGAGACAACTAAAGAAGACAGGGTAAAGAGCGTGGTGCTCGTTATTTTCTTAAAATGAAAGTCTGTTTAACAGCTGATGGGAAAGTCAAAGAGAGGAGAGACTCGATACCGTAAGCTTTCACAGAAGTGCCCAATGTGGGAGCCCCTAGCCACAGATGACTTTTTAAATTAAAGTCATTAACATTAAAGACAATAAAAAACTTAGTTCTTCAGTTGCAGTAGCTGCATTTCAAATGCTCAATAGCCACGTGTGGCTAGGGGCTGCCAAAGTGGACAGTATAGATCTAGAACGCTTCCATCATCAGAAAGGTCTGTCGGGCAGCCTTGGTCTAGAACATAAGTGGAAGATAAGAAGAGAGACATTGCCCCACTGTAGAGAGGGAAGGCTGAACCCAGCTGCAGATGGAGGTGGGCTTACTTATTTGGTGGTGTAGGTTGAAGAAGTTCCTACCTAATGGCCTATATTTTATTTCTGAAATAAGAGCCAAAGTGGGGTTAGTCACTGAGGGTGAATACAGTTGGGGTTAGGGAACAGTGTTGGAGTTCTAAGAGGAGTGAAGACGGTGGTTTGAAATAGTCATTATGGAGACTGGAGAATTATACTTAGCCTGCCAGAAAATTAAGGGGGCCCAGCTAAGATTGGTGACCATGAATTGTCATTCAGCCTTATGCTAGGTAGATGCAAAGAGAGGCAAGGATGTTGAAGGTAACTGCAGAAAATGACTGAATTAATGGATCACAGAATCTAAGTGAGATTTAGAGAGAAATACAGATAGAAGGTCATTGACAAGCTGGAGGAAAGTGAGTAAACAATATAAACTGGGGTCCTAATGAGCTAAGAACAAGTAAATAAGAAAGAAAGGAGTTTGCAGACAGATATAGGATGCGGAATTAGTGATTTTAAGAGGGAGGATATTTTCGAATGCTGATAAGGTTCGGAGTATGATCTGCTGAGAGTGTTGGCTGAAGTAGAGTGGATAAAGTCACTGAGGATGAGGATGAAGAGACCAGAGTGGGCAGGCTATGTGGACTATGAAGTCACTAAGGATAAAAGCAGGAAGTGAGGTAGACAGGAAGACTCTACACCACGCCAAAATCTTCAACAAGAGGGCAGTAGATGCTTTGAGGATGTTAGTCTCAGAGGAATAGAGTTCTTGTGTAGGGTCTTGGAGTGGCACTAGGGAATAAGGGAACTGATGAACAGGAAGGTCTCCTGACCCTGAGGAATGTGCTTTTCCTGAACAAGCTGCAGGGGCTCCAGGTTCTCAGGGGACAGCAACGCTGCAACAAAGGCAAAGAGGTCGTTAGTCAAGAGGCTGAGGCTACAGAGGAGTTCGTTAATGCTCCTCTACAGGGGAGCAGAAATTCCAAAGGGCTCCGTGGATAGGTTTGAGAGAAGGGGAGAGGCTGGCAATGAAATAACTGGGGGCGGGGGAAGAGTAATGTGGCAATGATGGTCCACAAAAGAACATACGGTAAAAGCTTAGCCTGTGAGTGGCAATTCGCTCATTGTATCGCTTGACAAAGAATGGTTATGGAGAGATCACCCATCACTCATAGATGTGTCAAGAAAATAACAAATGAGAGGCCTATGAAAAAATACATAGGGAGTACAGTCCTGAAATCTCAGAATAGAACTCTGAGAAGTATTTCCTATAAGAAACAAAAGAAAATATGAGAAAGCCATTTGGCATTCTCATTAGGATACAAGAAGACACTACAGCCTCTATGAAAATAGGAGTCAAAAAGTCTTAACTTTTTCCTTTGTATGTAGGCAATTTTTAAAAATAATTGGCATGTATTACCTTTGTGATCAAAAAAACATTAAAAATTCAATATACACAATGTTCTACTAATCACCTGACCATAATTCCATTAAAAACATTGACAACATGTCAAAGAAAATTTAAAAACTAGTTCATGTTGGTTCTCTGTGAATTCACAAGTGATCTTCTTCCTTTAATTTTTCTGTTATTTTCCAAATTTTCTATAATGAATGTACACTTTTATATTTAGTATATTATCAGGCAAACTACTTACATCCACTATGAAATCTTCAGCCTTCAGCTCAGTTTCTAGGAGTACTCCAGGTTTGGCTTCAGCAATGTCTTTTGGAATCCATTCATAGTCTTCCTGGAAAAGACAAAACTCATGTTAGAACCCCAGTTCTTCACCATTATGTGCTTGTGCCATGAAGAGGTTCCCTCTCTGAAAATGGCATTTTTAAGAAAAATGAATAGAGATATATCCTTAACAAATATAGAGCTTATGCCATTCTTTAAAAAATTTTAAAGTATTTATTTATTCCAATTTATCCAATTTTTATCATTCAAATGTATAAGCAATATTAAAACATTAATGAAACATTTTACTTTTTTTGTTTTCGGTACTAAGTTTTCAAAATCTGGTTTGTATTTTACCCTTATGGCACATCTTGACTTGGACTGGTCATATTTCAACTGCTCAATAGCCCCAAGTGACCAGTGGCTATGGTATTGGACAGCACACCTCTATACTTTCCTTCCTTCATTCACAGCTTTCTTATCCCTAACTAAACTAATAGAAAACAGTATATTACATTATGAAATGGTGCTATATATGGAAGGATCTTTTATGTTTAAGGTTTGGATCATGTGAGAAACATGAGAAATGTGCCTATGCTATCCTTTAATCAAATCATAATAGAGCAACTTTCATAACAGGATTCTCGCATTTTAAAAAAATGTGGCATTAACCTATTAGTAAAACAAGAGGAAGTAAAGTGTAACCCAAGGAAGTATTATAAGGTAAGGTGGTTATCAGTATGGCTCATGTCACTGGCTTTCTGGTAAAGAGTAAAATCTTCAACAAGCATGAGAGGAAAGATAAATGAACTAAAAAAGATAGGCATGCACCATTTGGGAGAACCTGATAAACTGTAAAAGAAGTTAAGTAGTAGCAGGTCCTCAGAGTCTCAATTAAGCTCATGCAGAAACCTTATTTTGAGGGTCCCTATCACTTCCAGGATGAGAAAGTAAAGGTGTGGAGTAAATCAAACTTGGCTTTGAATCCTGGCTCACTACCTATGCATCTACGGGCAAGTTATTTAATCTCTTCCCAAGCTTCAGTTTCTTCATCTATAGGACAGACCTAAGAACACTGTATTTATGTAAATGAGATCAAATGAGAATGAATGTAAAGGGCTTAGAACAGAATCCTGGTATTGTGACAGGTTAATGGTTTTCCTCACGAGGACAGAGGACTTTTCACTAATGAGAAGGTGCTTGACGACTCAACTTACCTTATTAATCTTTGTTTCTCCAACTGGCTGAGTCTCACCCACGTACTTGTACAGATTACGGTGTTCAATTTTTTTTAAAATCTCCCGTGCTTCATCCAATTTGGGATCGGTAGAGTATAAAATCTCCAGAAAAATGTTATCTGCCAATTTGATGAAATTTCAGTTACATTAAAATAAAAAAACCATGATTTAGAAAGACTCACACATTGCTGTACTTCTAGAGTGATTTTAAGCAGTTTACAGATGTAGGCACGCTATGGTTATAACCATGTGAAAATCTTTTTTAAAAGACTGAAGTGAAAAAAACCTTTGTAAAAACTTTCCAGTCAATGTCCTGGATTAGCTTCAAAGTAATCTAGTGAGTGGGAAAGGACAGAGATGAAACAAGACCGCCCTGGAGTTGATGATTTGAGGCTGGGTTACGGATACATAATGTATTAATTTATTGTTATGTTTTGTTTTATTTTTAAAGAGAATGATACTTAAGGAATTACAAAATTATGTCTGTGATCTATTTCAAAATGGTCCAGTGTCTGAAGGAAGTAAAGGATGAAGCAAAATGCTATGTGTTGATAACTATTGAAGCTAAGTGATATAAATTTCCTTAATAAAAAGTTTTTTAAGTTCCATTCTATGATGATAGTATAAGGTACTTTTTTCCTTCTTCCCTTTTCCTCCTGTGTTTTATTTAAACAAATTTAAAAATAAAATACCCTTCACCTAAATTCATCAACTGTTAGTATGTTTTCCACATATGTACACTCTCTCTCAGTGTATGCATACACAAATTTTTAAGGAAACCTCTCAAAATTACAGACATCAAGAACTTTCACTCTTAAATACTTCAGCATATATCTCCCAAGAACAAGAACATTTTCCTATATAACCACAATCATGTCAAAATATTTAACATTGATATAAAAATATCTAACACATAGTCTACTTTCAAATTTGCTTAATTGTTCCAATAATGTAATTTACGGATTTTTATTGTTGAATAGAGAAACCAATCAGATATTATGGATAACATTAGTTGTCATGTTTTTTAGTCTCCTTTGATCTAGAACTAGACTAATTCCCCTGACTTCTTGTTTTTCATGATGTGGACATTTTAGAAAAGTTCAAGCAGTCATTTTGTAAAAGGTCCTACACTTTGAACTTGTTCAATTGTTTCTTCACCATTAGATTCAGGTTAAACACTGTTGTCAAAACACAGTCCTAGGGATGTGCCTCACTCACTGCATAGCATCAAGAGTCACATATGAGTTTTGTTACCATTACTGGTTATGTTAAGATCCATCCATTGGTTAAGGTGATCGTCTCTAGCTTTCTCTATTACAGATTTATTTTCCTTTAGTAATTAAATAATCTGCAGTGTAATATTTTGGAACTGTAAGATTATCCCAATAAGCTTTCAACCAAAGGTTTAGCACCCATTGATAATCTTGGACTGAATCTAATGCTGCATTTTGTAAAATGAGTTTTATTAAAATGCCTTTTCTTGGCAAAATAAAATATTAGCAACCTCTGTCATTAAACAATTTATGGTTAACATATTTCTCACCCACTCAGTGATAGTTTCTACGAACAATCTTCCCATTTTTGGTTTTCATTAATTTTTCGTATATTATAATTATATATGTTATAAACTGCAATACTGTTTAAAAAACAATTTTAACATAAGACCATAGTATTCTAATCCATGCCTTTATCTACCCTATTCACAACTGAATTAATGAAATGCTTTCCTCCATTACAGATTCTTACTTCTTGAAAGTCTATCTAATCTGAGATTCATTTCAAAAGGCATCACACTGCAAAGCCTTCCCCAGTCCATCGAAACCAGGAATGTAATTTCTCCTTCCTTTGAACACCATGAAACTCTACTGATACCTTTCTTATGCCTTTCATCTTATTCTAACAGGCAAAATTTTTTTTGGCGGAGGGGAGAAGGGACTTAGATTTTCATCTCCTTTGGGTAAGCAAATAGAAGAGGGATTACTGGGTCATAGGATAAACGTATGTTTATGAGAAAATGTTCAATGTTTTCCAAGTGGCTGTACCATTTGCGTCCCCTCTAGCCATGTACGAGAGTTCTATTTGTTCCACATACGTGTTTTCAGAAAAGAGTTATAGAAGGGAAACTAGTTGTCTATTAAATTTCATGGTTAAAATATCACTCTAAAATAGTATAAGCAACATTCAACTTGGGAGTGAGAAGACTTGGTTTGAGTTTAACTTTGTCATTTATTAGATAAATGACATTTTTTTGCTTTCTCTCATTTGGCTTTAGTTTTCTCATTTGAACAGTTTTAAGTAGATGATCCCTAAGGTCCTTTTAAATCTAACATTCTATGATTCCAACTTAATTAAGGAATTTTGGGGTTGCGGCTTGCAGGGGAAGGCAAAGTAGGGGTAATGTACACCTGTTGCTAAGTAATATTGAGGAATAAAGACCAAGGTAAGAAAATGGTTATCTAAGACGGGGTCATAACATTTGCAATGATTAAAATAGCTATATCCAGATAAGCTGAAACAGTCATCAGAAATCGGAATTTAGGGAGCAGAAGGAATAGATAAACTATGGCATATCCTTATGATGGACTACTATTTAGTAATAAAAAGGAATGAACTACTGATACATGCAATCTGGATGAACCTCAGATACATAATGCTGAGTGAGAAGCTTGTTACAAGAGTAAACATTGTATGATTCCATTTATAGAAAAGTCCAGAAAAGGCAAACAGTGGTAGCTCCCAGGGGTGAGGTAGGGGGCAAGAATTCACTGGGAAAGGGTATGAGGAAACCTTCTACCAAGAAGATAATGTTCTGTGTCCTGCATTTGTCAAAACTAGCAAATGTACATTTACAATTTGTACATTGATTCAAACTGCATGGAAAATTTCTTTACATCAAAAGGAAAATATCTATAAGTACTGAACTTTAGTTAATCTGCATGCTGAATAAGCTATGGTAAAGTGTACCGATATCTGCAATTTACTTTAACATGCATCAAAATTAAGATGTATTAAGGCTCGCATGGTCCTATTCCTTTAAGGTCATGTAGTTAAGGACAATAAGGATTATATGACTACCAAGAATAATACGCAAAAGGAATGGGATTATTCCTGTCTCAAATAATGAAAGCTGGAAAGGCCATATGCTTGTTCTCTCATATTCTGGCAGATAAAGCACAAAAGTGTGACCTAATCTTTCGTCTGGGATTTTGGACATTTCTATAACATCCAAGTGCATGATCAGTGGACTCATCTCATTGAAAAGGGTAAAAGCAAGTTTGGGTGTTACAGAACCTCTATGGTGAGCAAGAGCTATATATAGTCATGTGCAGTTAAGATCATATTAAAATGTATGATATTTTATGGTTTGTCAGTTAACCCAAAAGTCTATAAAATCTAGAATTCATTTCCTTTCACCAAAATATAGTTCAAATATAACAGAGGATAAATTGTTAGAACTAATTATGGCTTCTGATGAAAACTGAAGATGACTTTAAAACACAGCATCACCCTCTTCATTATAAACAAAACTTAAAAATAAATATCCCCAGCTTGCTCAAATTCTTTTACAATCTTTCTTCCATTCCTATCAACATAACAATGGAAAACTAGTTTTTCTACTATGATGTTACTAAAACAAAACATAGGAAAAAATTAGATATATATTATCCCGTGAGTACTTTGTCATCAATCCAACTTAGATTAATGAGCAAGAAGCAAACTCACATGTCACATTATAAACCTTAAATATTCATACACACAGTGTTCTCAGTGCACAAAGAAATTTAATATGGGGAATCATTATTTCACTTCTAATTTTTGGTTTAGTTATGATTGGAAAATGGCTAAAAAGTTACAAGTTTAAGAGGGACTCTATATTAATTGCCTACATGTATATTTTTAAAGAATACATAGTTTTTGTAATTCAAGTTTTTTCTCTATCATGTTTCTTTTGATTATATCTATAGAAATGTATGGTCTGTCAAATTTAATAATAAAAATTGGGGCTTGTATCTTGTATGGCCCCCCCATTTCATTTTCCCAGTAATTTGTTTTTATCGTAGTTTAGAAAAGTATCCATCTGCGAGGAGTTGGAAATAAATAATGTTGGTTCTTCAAAGAGTTTGAGATAAACCGGTTTAGGTTTCATTCTGGCACTGTGCAACACACAGAATCTAGTGGTGATGGAACAGCAGTAGCACACCAGACAGGAAGCTGATGCGCAGTGATCTTGGCTGTAGCTTAGGCTGCTCAGCTTCTGTTGTTTTTGCTCACTTTCAGAACCTCCAGCCTTTCCACCGATTCTGTAAGCCATGTGATTGCTATCTCACTTTATTTTTAGTTAAACAGAGTCAGTTTCATGATCTGCAACTAAGAGCTCTAGCTGCTGTATACATTTTGGTCTACTTCTTTTGCTTTACTGATCTTTATTTCTCAGTCTATACTTTCCCACATTAAAGAAGCACCTTCACCTCTCTTCTTTCCCATCCTAAGCTGCAGATTTTGTTTCTGCTGAAGTGTGAAGAAATGTTCCTGGCATCTTGCGTTTTGAAACAAAAACAATGATAAAAGGGCAAGTCAGGTTTTTTGGTATTAGTCTGCTGTTAGTCCAGCTGTGTTATAAGTTAAATAATAGTAAATGTTGAGTACTTATGGGCCAAATACTATACTAGATGCTATGCCTCATTTAAGAATCACAACACAACTATATGTTGGGTATTATTACTACCATTTTACAGATGAGGAAACTAAGGTTCAGAGAGGTTAAATAACTTTATTAAAGCTTTCTTGTTAGCAAAAAGCAGAGATAAAACTCAAATCTCAAAGTATATAATCACTTGAAAAGCTAAAATCCATTGGAATGTTTGACGGAAAAAAACAACAACAAAACATCTGCACTCCAGGGACAGCTTATACTTTATCTGAAATAGACCACTATATTACCTTCTAGTTCTTACCTGTTAGCTTAGTGAAGGCTTCCATGTCATCAATTGCTGTAGAAATGTGATACTTTTTTCCTTCAGCACCTATAATCTCTATGTAGGGGTCTGCTTTGAGAAAAGCATCTGTAATCCTAAAAATCATTTTATAAAAATTTATGCTTATGAGAAAATTTAAGTAAGTGCTATAGTCCTTGCTTAAAGTTAAGAAAACCTACTTTAGGGAAATAAAATCTTGAGACACAATATTCTAAAGACAACTGCTTCTCGATCATACTAAGTAAAGGCGCAGTGATTTGTGAGCTACCTGTTTACTGTGTTCCAGGAATTATGGCAGGCTTTAGATACCTTATTTCCTTTTTCTACCAGTAAAATAGATAGGTGCAATCAAAGTCAATTTTACAGATGCAGAAATTAAGTAAATTTTTATTTTACCTAGTTAGGAAGAAGCAGTACCAGGCTGAACCTAAATCTTTCTGACTCTACAAATTAAAAACAAACAAAACAAAACAAAAACTCTCCTATCAAAGTAACAACCATATAAATAGGAGAATGTATTCTAATTAGTCTGCTCATGACAAAAGATGGGTAAAAAATAGAAAAAGAAGATAGATTTCCTCAACACAAATGTAAACATGAACATGAAAGGCTTATAATAAAACAATTTAAAGCTATTTTAGAGACATGGTAACAATCCGACTCACACCCAACTTTTGATAACTCCTCCTGGGGTCTCTGAGTCACCAGAGACTTGGCTGTACTTTTCTGTAATAGTTCTGACTGGATCGGGGAGAAGAGGTGAAATTCCTATCGATTTTACTACTTGCTACTAATTTTGATAAATAATTGACAGGGTAAGAACAGACATTAATCTTAATCCTTAAAATGAATGTTTTTCATTAATTTCAAAATGTCAATTATCTATGTCCTATCACTCATCTTAATGACTAATATCTGGTACATAAGCAACTGCCTATGCAGAGGTCCTAAGCCATTCCAGCATTGCCTTTTCATGTCTAGGCTAAGTCAGCTCTTCTGCCTTTCACCCATTCCTTTTATCTATTCTCTTCCTCTTTCTCCAACTAAGTTTATTTTATGGTAGTTTTTGTTTTATTTGTGTAAGGAAACTGTTTTGGATTTATTCACTTAAAATTCACTTTAATTATCTAAAAATCTCAACTTGATCCATGTATGATACTCTAGCAAAACATAGAAATTTTTATAGGGATGTAACAATTGAATTTCTTACATTGTGTCAATGATGTTGCCAACTTTGTGTTGATAAGCTGTACGATGCAAAGAGCTGCGTGTATGGAACATGTCGTACAGATTCCCAGCCTCCTGCCGGAAAACGTGAAACAAATATTAGTGTAGGATCAGATGGTGTTACCCTTGTTAGTGAACAAGTATATAAGACAAAGAGAAGAGACGGTGGCAGACAGAAAGGCTATGCCCGAGGGCTACTTCATTAAAATGCCTGAGCCCCCTAAAGTAAAACTATTCATTGCTTTGCAACTTTCAGTCTTAGTAAACCAAAATCTTTTGAGTGTTTAACTCTGTGATAGGTTCTGTTTTATGAATCTTAAATATATATTTTAATCTTCCCAATAACTCTAAAAGTTAGGTATTACTATTCTAATATTCTTCATTCTCAAAAGAAATACTTTCTATACTATAATACTATACTACTTTTTAGTTACATGACTCTAATCTAGCAGGAACTAATGAGTTTAGTATTTGAACTATTCCAAAACACTAATATAATGATTAAGGAAGAGACTTGAGTCAAACTTTCTGAAATTCCAGTTCTGCCATTTATTAATTGCATGTATTCTCTGTGCTTCAATTTGCTCGTCTGTTAAGGGGGCAATAATAGTATCTATGTCATAGGGTTGCGAGAATTGAGTTAATCTGTCTAAAGCACTTAAAACAGTGCTTAGTACAACACTGAATAAATATCCATTGCAATTTTATTACTTAACAATGCAAAAGAAGTAGAAAGAGCCTTAAAATACTTCAATGTTGAGCGTGAAATAAAGAGATTAACAATTTACCAGGTACTGATTTTTCCAAATTATTCAATGGTTATCTCAAGATTTCAAACTAGGAATTGACTATAACTTCACTGATGTTCCTCTGACATAGCTTACCTTGTCTCGACTACAGATATGCATCTGCTCTCCTACTTTACAGACACGGGCAAACATAATACAGCGTTTGTAATCAAAATTATTTTGGATACCAAGATGATGGCAGTCCCTAGAAAGATTCCAAAGCAGAGAGATAAAATTTTTCAACAAGAAAACTGTAACTTAAATACTAATACTAATACAAGGATTTTATTTTTATTTGTTTGCTTAAATAAAAAATTGCATGTATTTAAAATATACAAGGATTTTAAGCAAATTTTCTGAAGTGTTTAGTGCATACCTGGCAAAATAATCCCATTTGTCCACATCAATGCCATTTCTTTTATTGGCCACTATTTCATAAAGGAAACTTTTCTCTTTAGGACGCCCTTTGTATGGCCACTAGAAGACAAGACAACCCTCTAAAAGTTTTAGGATAGGAATCAAATCTATTTATTTATAAGCAAAGCAAAGCAATTGTATTAATGTGAACATTATAAACAGATACTTGAATGGGAATGTGAGGTAAGTTAGAAGGTTCTATTCTTTCCTTCTTCCACTTAATTCTTAAATTAGTAGAAAAGGTAAAAGAAATGCTAAGGTATATGATATCTTGTTAATACTAAACTGTTTTGTGCCATTGAAAAGATCCTAACTCTACTACATTTCCTACAACCGATGAGCTTTGTTTTCCTGGTTTAAAAGTTTTCAAAAATATAAGATCCAATTATGAACTAGAATGCTCCTTATATGCTAATGTTTGAATTCAAACATGAAATTATTTTTTGATCTCTTTTTTTATAATAAAAAAAACAGACCAAAAAGGAATCAAAATAGATTTTCCTCTGAACTAATTCAACTTTTTTCTAGGTCTTCGTATATCTAAATATTTCAAATATGTTAATTTTAATGGATAAATAAGACACACACTTTTACATTTTCCAAAAGTTACTTCAGGTTTCTATATAAAATACTGATACATATTCATTATAAAATATTTATATATGTATTTTAATTTGGGGGATAACTTCTAAAGAACTTAGTTAAGAAGTGGAAAAAAATATATAAGCCTTTCATTGTTTGCAAATCAGTAGAAATATACAACATATATTATCATCTAGTCCCTCTAAAATAGCCAAATATCCCTCTTCAAATAGCTCTGAAGGAATCAAGAAAAGACCAGATGAAAAGCATGAGTCACTTCACATTAAGTTGTACACAAACTTACCGAATTCTCTTTGACTGGCGATTCAAGTGGTCCTGTAATTTGCTCCTTGATAAAGTAAATATCTTCTTCAAGGATGAGACCATGCTCTTCCATGACAGTTCTGAGTCCATTAGAATTAATTAGGTGCTCAAACATATCAACTGAGCCTTGTTCATGCTGAGAAAAGTCAGCGTAATATGGTCTGTTATAGATTCTAGTCCATAGGGACCCCAGATTACCCAAATTACTCTTGATTCCAGATAATTCAGAGATTAGGTTCTACTGCATGTTAATTATCTAGTTTCCAACTACAGTCTTGCAGATATTTTAAAATCTGTCAAGCTTTGTGCAGTGGCAGTATGGTAGCTAATGAGGTTTATCCGAGGCACGGTTATTGCTAATTAAAACCTGTCAAATTTGTCTATATTTTACTAGTCTATAAACTTTTTACAAACCATGTTCATTATTTTATATATTTAATGAGATATGATCATTCACAGTACAGAAGTACTATACAGTACAGTAGAGAAGAATATTACCAGGCCATACAGGTAGAGTCCTATTTTGACGAAGATCACCATAAAATCAATTCTATTGTTTAATCAGCCTTGAAATGCGAAGTTTCAAGCTCTGTTAGCACTTCCATCTACTAGTGGAAAGGGGTAACTGCAAGCTTGCCAGTAAAAAGTGTTTAGAGCTCTGAAGTCAAGATTTGGGTGGGAATCTCAAATCGGCCTTATTTTATTCATCTGTTTCTACTCATTCATTCATAATCATTGTAAAGATGAAATGACTCCTTGGAGACATCTATCCTATCACAATTATTACCAAAAACTGACCTAAAATGAAAACAAAAACCTGAATGGTTCTACAAATATTTTTTTTTAATTGAAGCAATAAAACATATTAATTATAAAGGGGAAAAATAGTAAGTTTATAATGGAGAAATTTGGCAGACATTGCCTTAAACAATAACAACTAAAATCATAAGCAATTTAACAGTAAATAGAACGAAAGCTGTCTAAGACCTTTATGGAGAAAATTATAAAATTTATAATAAAAGAGCAAAGGAAATCAAAACTACAATGAGATATTACCTCACACCTGTCAGAATGGCTATGTCGAAAAGACAAGAAATAACAAGTGTTAGAGAAGATGTGGAGAAAAGGGAAACCTTGTCGCAGTTGGTGGAAATATAATTGTTGCAGACACTATGGAAAATGATATTGAGTTTCCTTCAAAAATTAAATATAGAAGTATCACAAGATCCAGCAATTCTACTTCTGGGTATTTATAAAAAAAAAAAACAAAAAAACAAAAAACCCACTAATTTGAAAAGATATATGCACCCCTATCTTCATTGCAGCATTATTTACAATAGCCAAGATATGGAAGCAACTTGTGCCCATAGATAGATAAATTGATAAAGAAGATGTGGTCTATATGCCACGAAATATTATTCAGCCATAAAAAATAAAATCTTGCCATTTATGACAACCTTGACGGTATTATGCTAAGTGATATATCAAGCAGAGAAAGACAAATACATATGGTTTCATTTATATGTGGAATCTAAAAAACAAAACAAAACCAGACTCAGAGAGAGAACAGACTGGTGGTTGCCAGAGGGGAGCAGGGTTGAGGGGGTGGGCAAAATAGGTGAAGGGCATCAAGAGGTACGAAGTTCCAGTTATAAAATAAGTAAGTCATGGGGATGTAATGCACAGCACAGGGAATATAGGTCAATAATATTGTATTAACTTAGCATGGTGACATAGTAAATATACCTATTGTGATGATCACTTCAAAATGTATAGACATAGAATCACTATGTTGTACACCTGAAACTAATATAATATTGTATGTCAATTATACTTTAATTTTAAAAAGGGTTTAAAAAAGAGCAGAGGGCCGAAGATATTCCATAAAAGAACAACGTGTGAACAGTTGTCTTGTCAACTATCAAGACGTACTATAAAGTAATAATAATTAAGAAAGTATGGAATAGAACAGAATCCAGAAAGGTTCATGATATATAAAGTTAATAAATGTTGGGGTTAGTATTATAGATCAGTGGGAAAGGGCAAACTATTCAATAAACAATTATCCACAGTAAAAAAAAAAAAAAAATGTTGACTGCTGGATACGTCTGGTTTTGCCTACCTTTAGCCTCTTATTGCAGAGAGGTAAAAACTAGGTTTAGATCTGCTAATAAAAACATTTTGTGCTTTGCCAGTAAAAGAACATGTGTTTCTAAAGGTTATAAAATATTCTTAAATCTGCCAACCTAAAGAATGCTGATTACATACTTTTAGTTGTTACTAGAAATTAAGATTCTAAGGGTTATAATCTAATTAATACAGAAGGAAATAATATGTGTTTTCAGGGAAGGATGGCACAAGGTATGGAAATACATTTTTGAAGGAATTTTTAAAAAGTGGTTTCTCTTAAAATAAGGTTGGTTATCTCTAAATGAGCAAGAAGAGACAAACTAAGAGTGACCAAGAAAGTTGTAGAAGGCTTGTGGGAAAGGACTCCTAAAAAAAGGCATTTTATGTATGATCAAGCTGAATAAGATTAAAATAAATTTAATAGAGTAAGTTAATTTAAGTATCAAAAGTAAGCTGATGCAAAATTAGAGTTGGGTTTTCTCCCTTGCTAAATAGGACAAGGTTTCTTAGACTATTGGTCTGCAACTGACATGAAAAAGTTTTCTGCCTAGAGAACAGAGATTCTGTGTTTTATCAAAATAATTTTGTGTTTTATGTTGTCTAAATCAGGCCCTTGGTTACTTAAGAAAACCGAAACTACACAATAGTAAGAACTAAGTGTTGTTAATAATAATTACATACATTTCTGCATTTATGTTTAAAGTTTTCTATTGTCACTCTGAATAAATAATTTAATATTGTTTTAAAATAATATGATCTTTTAGTCAAGCATATCTGACAAACTTCCCAGGATTCAGGAGACTCTTCCTGACCTGGAAGTAGCTTTGGGTTATTCCAGGGAAACAGCTGGAATGCCTCAAAGATTTGTTTTCTCTTTATAAAAGAGAAAATTTTAATTAGGTATATTTGATATACTAAAGTTATCTGGGAAACTTTGTCAAATAAGGAAATAATTATGATGTATTTATATGTATATATTCTTATTAAAGTGAATTTTCAGGAGATTATGATCTCTAATAGTCTACAATATGCTAATATAATATTTTCAATTGCAATTCTATTTGATTTCTTAAAATGTTATTTTGCAGAGAAAAACAAATTTTGTCAATCACATTATAATCAGATCTATAACCATGTCATTTTAGTTTTGTCATTTGCGGACTGTCATCGTTTTACTCTGATATTTTTGCGAGTATGTTTCATCTCCAGAAAGATTCCTAGAAAAGACTCTGGCTTAGTTTAAGTACAGGCTTCTAAAAGTAAATTTTCAGATTATATCTTCAAACTAGATGAAGATTTGTAAAACTCTGAGAAATAACTAGATTCATGAAAATGCTGATACAAGGGGATTTGTTTCTCTTAAGCTAGCTGTGACTTAAAGCAGTTTGGTAAATTATATCTTTGTAAACCGGATTGGAACATTCATTTTTTTCTCCCTTACTTACCCCTCCAGAATCCAAAAGCTCTTAATGAGTATTTTTATTTTCAAATAATTACATATACAAATGTAATTATTTGTGTAAGTTCAATAAGAATCTGTTCTCTTTATAACAGGACATGATTGCAAACTGCTTTTTATTAACAAACCTTTGACTAGAATGTCATGTTTGAGAGAGGCATAAACTTGGGTATGACCAGACTGCTTTAAGAAATTAAGATTGACTTATGGAAGCCAGTCAAAACCAGTAAAAGCCCTTGGGAATGCTGGCCTGGCACCTTACTTATATAGTTCCCAGCAGCCTTACCATGTGCATAAGGAATGTCACTTCTTGGCAGGTGCAGGAACCTTAAGACTTTTGGGGACCTCAAGAAGAAACTCACCTAAAACCTATAGGTATTGCAGGCATCCTCTGATGGCAAATCTTTGCCTTGGTTTTTCTGGCCTTGCGAGGCCTTTTAAATTCCATCTGAAGATTCTTTATGAAAGATTCCAGCAAAGCAGAATTAAACGTATCTATACGGTTAATTAATATTCTTGCTAGACTTATGCAAATGAATAGGCCAAGTTTATTTAAAGGATTTATTTTACAAATAAATTAGTCTTAATTTGGCTATCTTTAGTAAAAATTGGGGTAATTAGAGAGAAAAAAATGTTTCAATAGAAATTGTAATATACTTTTGTGGATGTTAGAGTCTAATGCTATTCATTGTCTTTTGAGTTTTATTTTGTCTTTTACTTATAAATTGGACTGGATCCTGAATTCTAGTTAATATTTGCCTATGTCTTTTCAAACATGTTTCCAATTTTCCCTGCATCCTCTGCCTAGGAATCACTGAAACTAAAGTGTTTTTCAAGCTATGTAAGCTAACGATGGGCAACTTAATATAAATTTCAGAAAATTGCAACAACAGCTCATGTTTGAACAATCTCGGTGACTAGTGCTGTATGGGCCATGCAGAGAGTTTGCCTTGGCGTCTGATGACATCATCAAAAACATTTTAAGCTGTAGGAAATGCTATCAGCCTTATATTTAGAAACCTTTACTGACAGCCTTATAGACTCAGAAGCTGATTTATAATTTACTCTGATTATTAACCTTCTGTTTTGTTTTCTTTTCATAACATTTTAGGGACTAAAGGCAGGTCCCAGAGAAAATGTAAACATTATGGTAATACAGAATATTCGTAGTAAATAGGAAAAAATATTTTCAATTGAGTATAGAACGGTGTTATTCCTCTAACCCTCGTACTCCA